AAAAAAAAAAAAAAAAAAAGAACAAGTATTTTACCCTCAAGAACTAGTAAATATAAGTGGAAACCACCTAAATACTTTTCACAGGGCTCAAAATAATTTTCTTTGTTATGCTCCAAGAAGCAGTGGCTGGTCCCTCCACACCAAGAACTGTCCCAAAGGAAAAACAAACAATGATGTGGTATAGGTTCTACCGCGCTATAGCACCATCTGCATTAAACTCAAAAGTTCACAGTCAATGACTACTGGTATCTAGGCTATGCATAGGTTAATTGACACCTACCCAAATGTCAGCCTTCGTAGTGATGATTTTGCCACTGTACAAGTTGACCATTTCTGGTGCTCGATAGGAGAGCGTTGTATATCTATAATCAAGAGATTTTTTTTTTGTTGTTAAATATATTAATGCTATAATTAAAAAAAAAAGGAGCAGCAGAAAATTTTATATTAATAGAATTCATTCTTTGGGAGCACTCTGCAGAAGAGAGTATGAAATATTAGTGCAGATAAAATGAAAGGCTGGCATTGGTACAATGATATCATCACAGTATGGCCCTCTAGCAGCAGACCTAATCTAAGAACATGCTGGGACCCAGATATGAACACACTAAATAAGCACTAAAAGCAACTTTACTTCGGTCTTCAAATGACAAAATCTTCTCCTAGGAATCCTTTTTGCCTGATATGTATTTTGTTGATTTAAAAAAAATAATAAACCCTTTAAATGTGGCTCAAAAGAGATGCAATGTTAGCTAGGATACTCTAGAGAACAGCAGAGACTGTGCCCTGGCTGTGTTAGGAGTAGACAGGATCAAGTGTCTGTGATCTTTACTCCTGGAGCAAGGCTGAAACAACAGCACTCTTTTTCTTTTTTTTTTTCAGCTTTAATTGAGTTTATTGGTACATTTTAGGGATACAGTATAGTTACATTCATTGTTGGGATCTTGTACCTCTGCATGACAAGTCTTGATTCTCATTTTTTCCCCTTACCTCTGCCCTCCCTTCACCCCCTCCTCCCCTCCCCATCTACAAACACTTTATTTCCATCTTTTCATCATCTCACATTTTTTTCTTTTCCCTTATTACCCTTCCCCTACCCATCCCACCTTCCCTACACCTTTAGCTCCTTTTCTTCCCATTTCTAAATGTCAGTAATCTTATTAGGATCTTATGTATTATTGCAGATTATTTATACCAGGGAAACTATTCAGTATTTACACGTGTGCCTTATTTATTTCACTTAGGAGTGTATCTTCAATATAGCGGCACAGTTTATAATAGCTAAATCTTGGAAACAGCCCATTTGCCCATGCGCTGGAAACTGGATAAAGAAGATGTGGTTTTTCTATAAAATGGAATATTACTCAGCCATAAAGAACGAGAAAATAGATTCATTCATAGGAAAATGGATACATATTGAACAGCATTCTTTTTATCTGTGGCTCAAGAAAATAGTGTAAGTATTCCACAGAGTGATGTCTTGGGGTCACTAAGCATGTAAACTGTGCTGCTCCGGTCTCAGAATCCTAGCAGGGACTGGCTTAGGTGTCTATCTGGGCCTTAGACCAGTTGTTCTGCCCCCAGCTTGCTTTCTGGGGTGATATGCAAGGGGAGAGAGGACAGAAAGTAAGAGTGTAGCTTACTAGTAGCAACAGTGAGTATGACTATGAAAAACCCAACACTGTGCACACGAGGGGAAAATGGGTCAGGTTCTTACTGAATGCACAAATCTAAGGAAACTTTTTCTTGTGAAAGTCAGTGATTTTGTACAAATTTCAAAAGCCCTACTCACCATTAATTTGGGTGAGTTCCTCTTGAGCTGGGAGGAAGCAGCAGTTTAGGACTCAGTATAAAAAAGCACATTATCTGTCTGATAATGTCACAGTGTGACATTATCAGATCACAAGTGTGATCACAGTTGTGATCACACTTGATATATCACAGTACTTTTACAGTGTGTGCACCACTTAGCTTCTTCTGGACATGTGACACTGTAAACCAAAATCTTTGTACAATGGCCATAGGATCATTAATAAAGTGTTACAAGATTATTTAATTACTGGTCAATGCCTGTGAAAGCTCTCCTTACTCTTCCTTTAAAATCAAACAATCCAACTGTGAAAAATATGTTCTGAGGGCCAGGGATTTACCTCAGTGGTGCCACCACCTGCCTTGCAAACACAAGGTTTCAAGTTCGATCCCTGGTACCAAAAAAAAAAAAAAAAAAAAAAAAAAAAAAAAAGAACAAAAAAAAAAAAAAAAAAAAAAAAAAAAAAAAAGCTCTAAAATGAAGGATAACTAACTAGCACCATCTTTTTCCATTCTGCCTGCCTCATTCATAATCTGAAAGTAGAATTGCTCATCTAATAACAGATAAAACCCCAAGAAAGGAGGAAGAACTTACTTCTTAATCTCATCTTCTACTGCATTGACTCCCTCGACTTGTGGATTCTGGAACTTGTTGGTGGCACTTCCAAAGTCACATAGGACGTAGTGGCCTCGGTCATGCAAGAGGATATTTTCAACCTGAAAAACATTCCCCAACCATCCATTCCAAGATATCATGTAGCAAAATGTATAAAAATTTGGTTTCACAGTCACATAAATAAAATGTTTTAGTTCTATTAGCTTCATTAGTGTGCCCAAAAAAGTTAACCTTGCCAAGTATCTTAACAGGGATCATCGCAAGTAGAACAAAGGAGAGGCACAGAAACAGGGTAAAATGAGAGCAGAGAGGGTAAAAAGAGCAAACTGGACAGCAGGGGAAGCCAGAGTCCCATTGTTCCAGATTTCCACTACATTTCTCACCTCTGCAGAAACAGTCCTCACTTTAGTCTACACTTTAGAACTCTTGCTCTTCTTTCAGTCTAGAATGCTCTCCATAGTCCCCAGCCCCCTAAACAACTATTAAATTATCAAACATCTTTCAAACCCAAGTGCAAAGACCAACCCCCCCACCCCTTTTTTAGTACCGGGATCAAACTCAGGACCTTGCACTTTCAAGGCCAAGGTGGCACTACTGAGCTAAATTCCCAGCCCAACCAACGCCTTTTTTGAAGCCTGCCTCAGGCCCTCACTCAAATATCACTCCTATCTTCTTTCCCTGTTTCATTCCTCCATGATGTCAACCACTTCACTTGGTCCTTTTTAAGATCATGTAACAATGTATTTGGCCAGGGATGTAGCTCAGTGGCACCACACCTGCCTGGCAAGTGTAGGTCCTGAGTTCAATCTCTGATACTGGAAAAAAACAAAACAAAACAAAACAATGTGTTTACTACATTAGGTTAGGATTTTCAAAATTAATATTTTTATATTTTAGTTACTTCTGAAACCAATAAAAGATGTGGAAGTAAATGAGAAGTTTCCTTTTTGAAATATCATTCTAATTTTGTTTTTATAAATAAAGTCTTTGGGCATTGACAGGAAAGTAGCTGGGAACTTCTGAGGACCAAAACACAGAGAAATCCCTTGTATCAAAGGATGCTACCAACAGAAACAATTTCAAGTTCTCAAGATTTACTGATTAGTTTTTGGCATGGGGAACTGAGCTGACTGGTATGCGGGAGGATAGACCTGGTATGTGTGGGCAGTAAAATGGCAGCCAAAAAGAGTCCTGTTTGGCCGAAAAGACTGTAGTCTTCATTGTCTTTTGATTGATCATCTTTGGAAAATAAAGGCAAGGGTAGACTATAAGCTACTTAAAGACAAGCTCTTTGTTTTTGTTTTTTGGAGACACAGTCTCCCTATTAGTTCAGGCTGGCTTTGAATTTACTATGTAGCCCGGGCTGGCCTCCAACTTGTAGTAATCCTCTTGCCTCAGTCTCTGGAGATTATAAGTATTCACCACAGGGCTGGAGATTTAGCTCAGTGGTGCCACAGCCTGCATCTCAAAGTCCTGAGTTTGATCCCTGGTACCCCCTCAAAAAAGTATGCACTACAATGCCTAGCACATGAAGAATTCTAAATCACAGAATTATGAATTAAGAATGATTGAGACAGATTTGTTCTCTTGTGGTAACCTGAGGTAGGCAAATATTTCTACCATCTACAGCTTTTTATGAAGGTTATCAATTTAATCTATACACAAAGAAAAACAGTCAAGCCATCCTGAGCATATATTTACTTGAGGCGTCTAAAATAATTCCAACCAAGCAATATTAATGTTTTCCAAACTGACTTAGAGGTTATAAAATAAAAGCCATCATTTAATAAGCTTCTACTATTGTCAGTGCTACTGTACACAATACTTTACATGGATTATTCCACTAAATCCATTTAATAACAATAATATTATGACCCCCTTCTTGCAGATAGAGAAAGTCAAGCTTAGAGTGATTAAGTCTCTTTCTAAATGTCATACAGCTAATAAGTGGTAGAGCTGGGAAGTGAACTCAAGTAATCTAACTCTAGAGAAGAACAGAAAATTACACTTCTGTCAGGGAAGGAAGTACATCAGAAACACAGCAATTATCCAAGGATCCCACACTCCAACTACGGTCAGGTTATGATGACTTTATATGGATGGAAAATCTGGTGTGAGGAAGTAATCACTTGAGCTAAAGCTGACACATGACGACTTTGTATTTGCCCAGAACATTGTACTGGGGTTGAAGACAGGGCTTTCTTAATTCTTTATGTTAAAAAATGCCCCATAATAGAAATCTAGTCAAAGAGGAGCCAAGTGTCTAAACACCAGCCACGCTGATTTGATCAATGTCTCCTAAGCATTCTTTATCTTACCTAATTTGTCCTTTATTCAATTGTTCATTGTCAGCCTACCAAACCGCAGCTATTCTTTAAGACCTCGCTTAAGTTCCAACTCCTGAGTAATATTTCCCATGACCATCCTACAAAATATGCAGACCTTAGTGTAGACAGGATGGAGTGCGAAAGCCCTGCAGGTCAAATCAAGCCAGGCCCACAGTCCCACAGCGTGTGTGCACTCTCTTTCTGAGTCAGCTTCTATACTGGTGATGCTGGGATGTACATGTAGAAAACTAAAAAGGTAACTAATAGCAAAACATAAACAAGGCAGTTGTAGGGACCAAAATCAGTGCTGGGGTAAGGAGGAAGACTAAGAAGACAAAGTACGGAATTCAGATGAACTGCGTTGGTAGCTTGCTGAGAACAGTAATCCCTCCCTGACTACTCTGCACATGTGTTAGGAGAATCAAAAGAGATTCACCAAGGAGAAACTGCTGGGAAGCAACCACCTTAGCCATTGCTGTATTCTCCACCTCCCCTTGGGTGTTCTGTAACTTAAAGCTCCTTTGGAAACTGCCAAAGCCAAGCTGGCTACTCTTCTCCTTTGTCACCACCACCAACAAACTACTGAACAACCAACGTGGTGTGTGGCAGTAACACTGGACTTGGGGCAGAAGAGCTCAAGAAATACTTTTCATGCTTGACCTGGCCAAATGGGTAAGCCTCTTTTGGCTTGTTTCTTATCTGCAAAGGGAAGCTGATAACATTTTCATCACTGTTGATATAAAGCAAGTAAGAGAATACAGGTGAAAGAAAACCTTAAATCTTCCTATACATACATGAGTTACTACCATGCATTTAGGAAAGAAGCATGATTGAATTTCTACTATATACCAAGCACTTTTCTAGATTCTAGGGATAAGCACGTGAAGAAAACGATAGAGTCCCACTGGGAATAATAAGAAAATAATTACAATTGCCTGAGGGTCACGAATGCTATGAAAAAAATTCTAGCTAGTTAAATGTATGTAAACTGAAGAAGTATGCCTCTCAACAGCCTAGTCAGGGAGGGCCTCTCTGGGGAAGAGAGCTAAGGCCTGAATGAGGAAGAAGTGTAGCCATGGACTCTCTGGGGAAAGAACATTCTGCGCAAAAGACAGCACCAAGGCCCTAAGATGGACACGTGCTCAGGTGTCCAAATGTGGAGGCAGCCAGTGTGGCTGGATCAGCGCATGTTCATACTGGCACTGTGAAGGGAGCTGAAAATGTGGGACAGGACATATCATAGTGCTCTCAGGGTTGGGGAGATGATAATGTGACCTGGGAGGGAGAAAAGGACTTAGATGAGTGAAACCAATCACAGGAATAAAGTATGGAAGCAAAGGGGATGACGGTGGTGGTGGTGGTGGTGGTGGTGGTTTAGCAGCAGCTAATAATACTTAGTACTGTCAATAATGCCTTGTGAGCATGTGCATGTGTAGAGTGTATGTGTGTTATATATAGTTTGTTGTTTTTGTTTAGCACTACTGGGATTGAATCCAGGGCCTTTGTACTAGCTATATCGCCAACCCTTTTTGTTTTTTATGAGACAGGGCCTCACCAAATGGCTAAATTGCCCAGGCTGGGCTCCCAGAGTGTTGAGATTGCAGGCATGTGCCTTTATCATTGGTACCATGCATTTTTACTTATAGAAGCTTATGTAATCCTTATAAAGTCTTATTGTCCTCCTTAACAGATGATAAAAGGGAGGCCAGAGAAGTGACTCAATTTGCCTAAGGTCACAAAGCTGGTAGAACAGGAACTGCTGGGACCACATTCGCACACCACACTGAAAGAGCAGGAACAGTTCAAACTGGTTAATAAAGATGGCAGCAAAGAAGTGAATCAGCAAAGCAGACCAAAGGAAGGGTGGGAAAGGTCATTCAGGAGGCATTCAGGATTTCTGAAGGGTCAGGAGCAAATGCAAAGAGCCACTTAGGAAAACCACCTTGGCAAGAGGAGGAAGAAGAGAGGGGAGACAAATAGGGAAGGTATGACAGTCCTGTGTGAGGTGACTAGGGCCAGGTCTAGGGTGTGACCACTGACAGAAAGGGGGCACAGATTAACATGATATTCACAGTGGGGCCATAATCCTTATGTCTCACTGCTGGGCAGGTCTTTGGTACATATGTGACCGTCTCATCAGGTGGCATGGGACAGACCGTTAAAGGTGCTACATGCCTCCCTATGGGATTGTCATGCAGGTACCACTGGTGGGTCAAACCAGCAGAAACACGTAATGAGATCAAGGAAGTAGAGAACCGAGTAGATATTCACACTCCACTGAACACTTCAGAGAATGTGCATCGTGACACTGTTTTTGGCAAAGCCCCTATAAGCTAAGACTGGTTACTATTGCCTCCAGGACTCAAATACTTCAACTCAGAGAATTCAAAGCTGTTGACCTTATTTCCCAACCCATCACCCAAAGTGTGCTATTAAAGTTGTCACTCCCAAACTCTGCTCATAGCTTTAGCTGAAAGGTCTAGAAAGCCACCTCCTACTGACCTCTGTATTGCAATGTTGTTCCAAATAGGCATGGCGGGGGAGCACTGTCAGAAAATTTGTCATCACTGGAAAACTTGGAAGAGTCAATGAATGCAGTTTTTCAAAACTGCTCTTCTAAAAGTGGGATAAGAATCTTCATCCTATTATATTCCATGAGATCAAAATCTCTTTTATGACAAAAAAGGCTACATCTATGAATTTTTCTACCTGAGTGCACTTGTTAAGTCTTAACCTTTTGTTTCTCTTTCTTAAGTGCTTGGACAAGCAGCACAGTGTAATACAACAAAACAAATAAAAGACCGAAGAGCCTCTGCTTTTGTGCTGGTTTGATTATTCAGTTGTACATGGCAATCACAGCCTTTCTGTGGCAAGGATTTTCACTGGTAAAAGGGAAGGGCGGATTTAGGTGGCCTTTCCAGATCTATGACCCCATGATTTGCAATGATTTTATTTCCTCGGAGCAATGAAAATTTAAAATGGAGGAAATAATTAAAGGGTGGCAGTAATACACTTGAGGAAAGATCTACAGAATAGTGTTTCTGTTATGGTTATTTTTAGGACAAAAGCTGCTTAAGGGCAGGGACTTTTTAGCTTATGTCCTGTATGTCATATTGGAAAGAAAGACCTCACCCAAGGCAGACAATCAAGAGGGGCTTTTCTTAGTTATGCACATGAACAGACAGCTTCATACCCAGGGAGGCACTGGCTCATCAAGGTCCACAACAGCCCTGGCCTGTGCCCTCTCCCCTGTCCCACTGATGGGTACTTGCAATAGTGCTTCCTCCCCAGAAAGAAAGTCTGTTCACAGAGGATGGAAAGAGGTAGGTGGGTGGGGACAGATTAAATGTGATCAAGAAGGTAGAGAATCAATTTTTCTGGCCAAGAAGAGACTAAAGAACTCCTTGCTTCTGGCTACTGCCAGGAATGCAGCAGCTGGTTCCAGCGGTGATATGGGGCTCTGAGTAGCTGAGGTTCTACGGTGCAAGGACAGAGCCAGGGAAGCAGAAAGTATGTGGGGGACTTTTCAGTCAGACCTTGGGAAACCAGAGGTGCAGCAGGCAAAATGTTATTGCCTACCACATACACATGAGTAAAAACCAACAAAATGTAATTCACAATTGAAAAACATCGAGGTGGGGCCCAAAGTCAGATCTAGGAGGTTTAAAAAGTTCTAATTAAACAACCAGGAGTTAATAACATAAACAGCAGCAACAAGAACATCTCTACAATATCCACAGTCAAGGCCTCTTCCCACAGCCCGTGTGTATGCCCCTATTTCCACAATAGGTAGGAAGGGGAACAAGCCAGCCTCCAGAACCATGGTTGGCAACCTGGGCAAAATGCCATGAGGGAAGCAAGGAGGCAACCCATTCCTGCACTGCCTCCCACTGTGATTCAGTGAGCAGTTCATAGCTGTTCCGTCAGGGAAGGAAGAGCCTGTGCCCTGCTATCTTAGTCACACCTCAGACCCACAATGTGTCCCCAAGGTCCTGTCACCAGGGGATGCTGACCCACTCCTAACAACAGCACTCTCCAACACGGGGCATTGCTAACATGGAAATACACAATCTGGAGAGAAACAGAGTGATAACCATTTAGATTTCACAAAATTTGGTAAATATTTTAAAAGTTAAACTAGGGGACTACTTTGTTTAAAAATATAAGAATCATACTCTAAAACACTCCATGTGGCCCTTCTGCCTCCTCCCTTGCTCTCATCTCTGTTTTCAGCATTTAATATGCAGGACGTATCTACAGACTAACATACTCTTTCCCTCAGACACCTAACAAACAGATTCTGCTCTCTCCACCCTACAGATAAGAAAACTAAGGCTCAGAGAGGCTGAGTGACTTGAGGAACAAGCAAAGAAGCCAGAGAAAGAAGAGCCAAAGAAGGAAGAGCTGTCTTAGAGTGCTAAGAAGAGACAATCATGAAGGAGTCAAGGGCTAAAGAGAGAAGAGATGAGCCGAAAAGTATCCTTTGCACTTGCCAATTGTAAAGGAAGCTGGGTATGCTCATCTCTCCCAATTCGGTTGGTATCAGTCATATAATATTTTGGAATCAGGGGGCAAATATGAAATCTCATGTTTTATCATCCATTAAAATACCTTGCTGAGCTAGGCCTGGTGGTGCATGCCTGTAACCTCAGCATTGTGAGACGCTGAGGCAAGATACAGAGAGGACAAAGATCACAAAAGCCACAGGCGCAGTGCCCACCAGCCACACTTCTGTCCTTTACTTCTGTCCTACATTTCTGTGTCCCTTACTCTTCTCTAAGGCAGGCAGCAGGCAGGGAGGTCAGGTCTTTAAATTCTGGTACCACTTCTCATTTTAAAATATAAGTGCTATACTTGGGATCTGGAATGTTCCACAAAGGCTTATATATTTATTTAAGCTTGGTCTCCAGCTTGGTGTTTGAGACGTCTTAAGAGGGAGGGCTTAGTGGGAGTTCCTTACATCACTGGGGGCATACCCTTGAAGGGGACCCTTTCTCTTTTTCTTCCTCATATCTAAAGATGAGCTGAATAGTATTGCTTTGCGACAGGCTCCCTGTCATGATGTGCTGTCTTGCCACAGTCTAAATCAACAAGGCCAATTGACCATGGGACTGGAACCCCTAAAACCATGAGCAAAAATAAACCTTTTCTCTTGATGAATTTATTATCTCAGGTATTTCTTACAGTAATGGAAAGTTGACCAGCACATGGTAAAAGAGCTTAACCAAGAATTTCATTCATTTTTAAAGACAACTAGGAATAAAGTATCAACACATAGAGCAGTGGCCTGCAGTCACCCTACCCTAGTCTGGAACTGGCCACCCACCAACCTATACCATCTCTACACACCTTGCTGTCAGCAGCCTTCTAGCTCTGGAACGTTCATCAACTCTCTGACTACTCATAGCCCACCCTTCCTTCAAAATTCTACTTTTCTAAAATTTTCAACCACTGTTGCCTGTTCCCACTATTGGACCATATATTATATGACCCAGTGTTCTTCTACTTGTCACTCTCTTCTGTAGAGTTTATGTCATTCCTTGTTTCAAGTCTAAATAACTCATTTGTATCTTCTCACCAATAATACTTTAAATATCTCAAGGGTGGAATATATACATATATGTGTGTGTGTGTGTGTGTGTGTGTATATATGTATCTGTACTACTCCCATGAAATTACTTTGTTTTTGTTTTGTTTTTGTTTTTTTGAGACAGGGTTAGTCTCAAACTCACAGCTATCCTTCTGCCTCAGCCTCCTGAGTGCTGGGATTATAGGATTGTGCCACCATGCCTGGCTTGAAATTACATATTTTTATTAGGAACATAAGAAATATTCACCAAGATGTATTCTCTTATTTTCTCCTCAGGAAAAAAAAAAAGAGCTGTGGGCAGAGGTACATGGGAGAAGGCTGCCTAATGCTTGTGGAGGTCTATGCCTATCTTCCTGTAAGCTAACTGCATTACCACAGGAGTGCCAGCAGGTGCCACTTCATACCCATTAAGGTGGGTGAGATAAAAAAGGACAATAGCAAGTACTAGTAAGGGTCAGGAAAAAGTGTAACCATTACTTAATGCTGATGGATATGAACAGTGTAGCCATTTTGTTCAACACTTTGAATGTTCCTCAAAAAGCTAAAATACAGAGTCATCATATGACCCAGCAATTCTACTCCTGGGTATACATACACCTAAGAGAATTCAAAACATAAGTCCACACAAGAACTAGTATACAAATATTCATGGCAACATTATTCATAATGGCCAAAAAGTGGAAAACAACTCAAATGTCCAATGAATTAATGGATAAACAAAATGTGCCATATCCATGCAACAGGACATTATGCAGCTATGAAAATAAAGTGCTAATAAGAACACAGATGAAGCTTAACATGCTAAGTGAAAGCAGTCAGACAAGAAAGGTCACCTGAGTCCATCCATCTGAATAAGAAAATAAACACAGGAAGTAGATTAGTGGGAGTGAAGGCTGGGGTAAGGGAGGGGAATTAGAAGTAATTATTAATAGATACAGCACTTTGGAAGATGATGAAATGTTCTGTAATTAGTGATGTTTTGCACAGCCTTGTAAATATAGTAAAAATTGCTGAAAGGTGAATTTCATGGAATGTGAGTTATATCTCAATTGTCTGAAAAAATGTAAGTATGCTGCTATGATCATTTGCAAAGTACAAAAATAACATGAGTCACTTATTAAGATACAAATTCCTGGAGTTTCCCAGCATCACCACCAAAATTCTGGGCTAAAAGATTCAGTATGGAACCTACCAGCTTACATTTAACAAGCACAACAGGGGACACAGATTATTAGACACGAAACATGTTTCTTGAAACAGATATAATGAAAAGAAACTAATTTAGAATCAGAAGAGCTAGATTCAAATTTTGGTACTGTTCTTTCATAGTTATATGACTGTAAGAAAGTCATACAGCCACTCTCCTATGCACTTTCATCAATTATAAAATATATTTAAGAATCTCTTTCTCTAATGAGATAGTATATATAAAGGGTAACAGAATAAGTGGCACATAGTTGGTGCTCAATAAATGCTAAGCTGAACTGTAATCAGGTGCCAATTCCATTCAACAAATATAGTCAAGTGTCTATTATATGAAAGGCACAGTATAAGGTAAAGGTAATCAGCACCAATTTTTTTTTAGTAGCACCAATTTTAAAAATGAATGATTAATTTTTTTTTGCAAAATGTGAAGCAGACTTGAAAAACACATTTACAAACAATTTAAAATCACTTATTACTTTTCATGTCTCCAGAAATGTGAATTTGGGAGTACAGCAATAAAAATGAAAACATCATGGGTTCACATATTTTAATTATAATTTTAAAATGAGAAGTGGTACCAAAATTTAAGTAGCAAAACTGATATTGTCCTATACTTTTTCTTTGTATCTTCGCACCCCACGAAGAATGTAAGCTTGGTATTCCCATGGTATCTACTCCATTCTGGAATAAAGAAAAAACACTCAGCAAGAATGGACTTAATAAAATAGTATGTCTGTTACCTTCAGGTCACGGTGGATAATAGGAGTTTTGCACTGATGCAGGCGAGCGACAGCTTCACAGGTATCACAGAAGATCTGCAGCACTTCATTCTCTGTAAAGCCTGTTTGCAAGCGCTGGTTCATCAGGTTTACCACTTGGCCTCCTGAGAGGGATGCAAAGCAAGGAGAGATTATAAACAGTTTTGTCATTTAGACTAAGAGAAGGAGTGGCTATCCAAAGAGGAGCAGCCCCGAAGAAAGTAAAGTAACTGATAATGGCAAAGTCAGACTGAACCCCCAGTGTCCTCAGAGCTTAGGCTCTGTGGTTTTTTAACAATCCAATGCTTCCTGTAATGCATCAAAAGCAGTTTCATTATCTTATAAAGTACCCAGACATAAGCTGCCCTCAGTACGCCTTCAAGGATTACTAGGAGAACTGAGAAAATGGTCCTGCTATCGTTCCCTGGTTATCCTGTCCCCATTGTGTAAGAGATGAGGCCACAACCTCACTTGCCATACTCTTTAGTCATCAGAATCAGATGGCACAACAGACCCAGGGAGCAGTAAGAAGACAGCATTATAGTCTGTACTTTGGGACTATAATTCTGGCTTCATCATGTACTGCTTGGCCTGTGGAAATGCTACACTAGCATTTCATCTGCAGGACCAAAAGACTAATGACCTCTCTTACAAAATCATCTAGTATCTTTGTACTACTGCCCGGCCTCTAAACATTTTACTGCCCAAAAAAGAATGGTCAGGGGAAAATGAACTGTCAAGTTCAAATTTGGCAGTGTTTATAAAATCAGTTAATACCTAAGATAATGAAGGCTGAAATTACTGGGTGATATTACATCTTTGCAATAAACAACATATTTAATTTATAGACAGTATCTTTAAAGGCAGGAAAATGTTCATGAAACCAAGGGCAATTATAAGGCAGTAAGACAATGTCCCAAGTTTGTAGGTGGCAGTTGCTTAGGCCAAAAAGCCAAAACCACAAACAGTGGTTATATGAAATAGTCATCTTTGTGAATACATTTAACGTACAGTCTTCATTATTTAGGACAAATGTTTGCAACTACAAGCTTTCAACTATTTAAATGCCACTGTTAACAGCAGCATCATTTGAATGGGGCCTTATCAGAAATTACAACTCTAGAGCAAGGAGAGAAAAGATCATTTCCATTATACAAAAAGGATTCTTTTACCCAGTAACACAAGGATGATAGTGTGAGTGGGGAAGAGAACATACAAATGAGGGGGTGGGGAAGTTGCACTGTTTCTTTGGTCCATCTGGAGTTGAGCCTTTATTATGTGTCTTCATCATTTGTCTTAAAGCATCACAAAGAATACATTCATTCAAATACTCCTATGTTCTCATTTATATACATGACCAAATCTTCCTAAATCCAACAAAAACAGGGCTTCTGTATTATCCATCACTTTTAATTGTTTGTGCCACTGCTCCTTTTCATCATAATAACCAAAAGTTTACAGCAGACTCTCTATCTTTTTAATCTCTTAGTCTATCTGCAAAACCAGAGCAACACAGTTTAGGGTATAACACACATTAAATAAAATGATCCCTGGGTTGGGGATTTAGCTCAGTGGTGCTGCCACCTGCCTCACCAGTGCAAGGTCCTGAGTTCAACTCCCAGTACCTAAACAAACAAACAAACAAACAAATAAATAAAATGATCCCTATGCCCTTGATAATCAAAATGCTAGAGAAAAGAATTTAAGAATATGGTTCATGGGGCTGGGGATTTAGCTCAGTGGTGCTGCCACCTGCCTTGTAAGCACAAGGTCTCAAATTCGATGCCTGGTACCAAAAAAAAAAAAAAAAAAAAAAAAAAAAAAAAGACAATTTATGTACATACCTCTACAGAAGTCCATCAGAATGAGAACTTCCCATACATCGCCGCTACTCACACTGTTGATACTAGAATCAATGTAACCCACAATGTTCTTGTGCCCTGACAGGTCCCTCTGTGAACAAGAATTGAGAAATATATTGTCAGTTATAGACACCAGTAGGGACAGAATTAGCTAGTCAGTTCCAGTAGCACAGATAATTACACACACAGATAACAATAACAGTGTTTAAAGGTAAGACTAAGAAGCGAGGTCAAGAACAGATTTCCAGCAGTTTCTGAGATTCACAGGCAAATATCCAATAGGGATTCTACTGACCTAATGACCCATAGCCCTCTCTAGAATCTAAAGTCAAAGGTACATTAGATACCTACTTGCTCCAGGTAACCAGAAGCAAAGACTCCTATTTCCAGAAATAATGCACAAGAATCAAGAGAGTGTGTGTAAACTATTTTTTAATACAGAAAAAAAAATCATGTTTTTCCTGATGGTAGAGACAAAAGTGAATTTAACTTGACTTTAAGTGGTTCACACTATTTTTCTCTCTTTAAGAAATACATGAAGGCCGGGGATTTAGCTCAGTGGTTTTGTGCCTGCCTCGCAGGTGCAAGGTCTCGAGTTGGATCCCTGGTACCAAAACAATAAAAAATAAATAAAATAAAATACATGAAGAGAATAACTTACTTTACAAAGCTTTGAAGGGACTTGATAGCATCTAGCCTTAAGCAATTTGCTCATAATTAAGCCCTTCAAGCCAATCAACTGGGATATACTATGAGGCATCAGTTGGAACTGTGATTTCAAAGGGCTGCTCATGACAGTCATTTATACAACAAATATTTACTGAGCACCTCCTTGTGTTAAGACCCTTTAGGAACTGGATGTTGTCTCACACCCTGGAATAGTCATTTCAGGGTCAACAGAGTCAGATATTTGTAATGATGATGTTAGAATCTAAAGTCATTAAAAACTGAGTTGGAGAAAGAAAAATATGAGCAAGCTGAGTAATATTAACGCAAATAGGGCCAGGGATGTGGCTCAGTGACACTGTGTCTGCCTCGCAAGCGTAAAGTCCTGAGTTCGATACACACACACACACACACACACACACACACATATGTCTATATACATATATGTATATATATATATATACACACATATACACAATATATATACATACACAATATATATACATACACTATATATATATATATACACACACACACAAATATAAGGTAAGATTTTTTAAAAATTAGTTTTAATAAATTGTTTTACTTTAAGCTTAAAAGAATGAATGTGGATTCCTACTTCACATCATATACAAAAATTAACTCAATTACAAATGAATGTCTGTAATCTCAGCTGCTCAAGAGGCAGGAGGATCACAAACAGCCTTGGCAACTTAAGAAGACCCCCATCTCAAAAGAAAAAAGAAAAAGGGCCTGGTATATAGCTCAGTGGTACAGCAGCAGCCTACCACGTGCAAGGAGTTCAATCCCTAGCACTGCAAAAAATAAAAATTAAAACATATTGAAGACCTAAAAATTCCTCACAGGAAACATGAGTAATTCTTTGTGACCTTAGGCTAGGCAATAGGCTCTTAAGCTATACCTATGGTAAAGAAAAAGTAGATAAACTGCACTTTGTGAAATTTAAAAAATTTGTGTTTCAGTGACTCTAAGAAAATTAAAAGTCATAAAACAGGAAAAAGTATCTAAGTCATATATCTAACAAGGATCTAGTACTTGGAAGAATATACAAAGAATCCTTACAACTTAACAATAAAAAGAAAACACTATGTAAAAATTGCAAAGCACATGAATAGACAATTTTCCAAAGAACATATACAAAAATAGCACACACACACACAAAAAAATTTAATACCATCAATCATTATAAATGCAAATTAAAACCACAATCAGATACTACTTCATATCCACTAGGAGGGCTATAATAAAAAATATAAACAATAGAAAACACTGAAGATGTGGAGATTGCAACCTTCATATATTGTTGGTAGGAACATAAAATCTGGCAGTCCCTCAAAAAGTACAGTTACCATAAGACACAAGTCCACTCCTATGTATATACTCCAGAAGAGGGACGCATTGTGTTCACACAAAAATTTGTGCGAAAATGTTCATGACAGCATTATTCATAATAGTCAAAAAGTGAAAATAACACAATGTCCACCAAATATGAATGGTTAAACAAAATGTGGCTCATTTACACAACGGAATACCATGCAGAAGTAAACATGAATGAAGTACTGATGCCTGCTATGACATGGAGGGACCTTGAAAACATTATGCTAAGTGAATGTCAGACGTTTCATACAGTGAATGAGTCCATTCATATGAAATGGACTTAACACGTAACAGGAAGTAAATTGTTGGTTACTGGGGCTAAGGAGAGGTAACAAGGTTAGTGACTACTAACAGATAAAGGGTTTCCCTCAGGAGTGATAAAATGTGTTAGACAGCGTTGAGGTTTGCCCAATCTTGTGCATCTACTAATAACTGTTGAACCATATGGTTTAAAAAGGATGATTTTTTTTTTTACAGAATGCAAATTTTATCTCAATTTATACAAAACAAACAAGTAATATGACAAGTAAATTTTGTTGAAAGTAAACATAGGAGGGAAAAAAAGAAAAAGAAGCCCTATGAGCACTGAATCCTTGCTATATCAATTTCTTAGAATAATGTGCCACTTCCTTAGGCCCTCAATCCATCTATTCAGAAGTGTTCAACAGTTCTTGCATATATCCAGTTAAAACTTTCTACCTCCTGATTTTCTAAATTGGTACTCTAGAGCAAAACTAGTAAGTCTGTTTGTTCACTCCCGAAACAGATGAAATAGAATTATTTAGCCTAAGTCTTCTCGTCTCTATGTTGCACAGTCCTACTTCCTTTGATAGGACCGCCCCCCCCCAAGTACTAGGGATCAAACGCAGAGGCTCTATGAGTGAGCTACATCCCCAGCCCAGCCCCTCTGTTTTGAGATAGGATCTAGCTAAATTGCCCAGTCTGGGCTCAAACTTGCATCCTCCTGCCTCAGTCTTCCAGAGTGCAAGGGTTACAGGCACGTGCTACTATATCCAGCTTTTAATAGGATTTTTAAGACCATTTTGGCTGCTATGAATGGCCCTACGAAATGAATGAGCCACTCCATGCCCAGTCTGATTCATGCTGCGTAAACCGGTACCACCACCTTCTAGAATTCTATCAATGTAGTTAAAAATTACATTCTTTTTTCTTTTGGCAGTCACATTACACTACACATTCATACTGAGTTAATTGACCACTTAGATGTCTAAGTCTTTTTCCATTCATGCTGTTTTTAATCTTGCCTCCACTGAACTACACTCATGAAGTTGATTAAAATAAAATAAAAATCCAAGTATATGACCTTACCTTGTTATTTCATCTCATTAGATTCAGTCCATCACTCCAATCTGTAAGCATCATTCTATCACCCAAGGTAGCTGTTGTCTTCCAAGTTTATATTAAGTACCTATTTGTTAAAAGTGTCTTTTTTCTTTACCCAAGTTATTTGTTAAATGCAAAATAACATTAGTGTTGTTACAGTACTTTTTTGTAGCGCTTTTTTTCTTAGAAAATTTCCTCCAGATTAATGTCAAGCTACTGATCAGAAATCTTGATAACCAGGAGCAATTATACCTAACTGTAGCAGTGGCCAGCCTAGACCCTCCATCTTGCTCCCGGATCTCTGATGAATGTCTTTATCAATAACTTTGCAAAAATCCCCAGACATTGGATTTACTACAAACACCCCCATCCCAAAAGGTTCCTAAAGCAAGACAAAATGTTCATGGGACATGTCCTGTACTTATTGAACTTCAGGGCTCTTTGGAGCCCTGCTTACTCATCCAAGTGACTAAAAAAAACTGAAAGTTTAACTTTGTTGTGTTCAATGGGTAGTATTTAATGTCCAAATAGAAAATATTTACAATTCCTTTCTACTTTGTACTTCCCATCCCCCTAGAAAATCACTCCCCACCTTTCTCTCTCTCCCTCCTCCTTCCCTCCCTCCCTCAGTCTTTCTTCCAAGAAAATCAAATTCAAACAATATGTATTATAGTTACAGACACACACTGACTTTCTTACGCTAAAGATAGCATCAAAGAGTCTTTTAAAATAATCTGCTCCAGATTCTTGCCTCATATAAAACTTGAGCTCCCTACTGTACAGAATCTACCTTCCTCTCTTTTTGGAATATGAAAGCATTTGCCTGTCTTGAATTGTCTAATCTCTCTTCTGTTCTAAGTAAGTCTTCAAACATCACCGGGGCAGCTCAATGGGGGCAGCTCAATGTCCTCATTATCAAGCTCAATGAGGAAGGAATTCATTTGGGCCAGGAGATGTGAATCCAGAGCAGTGCTTAACACACCTTAAATTTTAGATCATTCCTATCTCTGTTCTTACCCTTTTAAGTCTGAAGATAATTATTATCTTTTCCTGCCTTCAGGCAAACAGGTCTGAAGTCCCACTTCCAACTGTCCTTCAGAAATCAGAATCCTTTCGTTCTATCAGACCACAAATCCCAGATATATCAAAAGACACACACCAGACTAGCAGATAGCATTTATCAAAATAAAATGTGAAGTCACTCTAGGGAAACCATGGTTCTCCCTTCATTTGGGTGTAGCAGCCCATCCTTCTTCCACTGTGAGTACAGAGAGAATTCTTCATCTGGAATACTCACACACAGCCTTTGCACAGAAACCATGTTACATCTCCCAAACTGCTTCAGAATTCCTATAATCCCGAGAGGGATGGGGATGAGACATAGCTCCTACTTGAGAGAAATCTGAATTTAAGAGGGTTAAAATCACATAGAATTTAGTAGGAAACTCAAACAACTTCTAAAAGCACAAACTTAACAACCTGAGTGGATGCATTCCTCAAACATACAAAAATAATACAATTTACTCCTATGAAATAAATAATCAATGGCCCTATAATTCTACCAAAAGCTTAAAGAAGAATCAACATCAATTCTACACAGTCTCGTCCAGAGCTCAGAAGGGAAGACGCTCCCCAATTGTCAGTGTAGAGACATTATTACCCTAGTACCAAAATGATCCAACAAAAAAGTGAGGCAAAGGGAATGGCTAGATCACAGCAATGGCGAACATTTTAGAACTTTCAATGTTACAAACAGCTGCTGTGGCACGTATGCCACAGATTCACTACCACAGCAGGCCAAATTAAATTAGTCCTCAAGAGCAACCAGTCCAGATTCCAGTAAGTCAGAAGACCAAGGGAAAAATCTTCAAGATGACAAAACAGAAATTACTAGCTGGGTGTGGTGGCACACGCCTGTAATCCCAGCACTCGGGAGACTGAGGCAGGAGGATCACTCTGAGTTCGAGATCAGCCTGGGCTACATAGTTGAGTTCCAGGTCAGTCTCAATTACATAGTGAGACCCTGTCTCAAAAAACAAACAAACAAAAAAACCCAGAAAATACTAAATGTATTTAAATATTCAAAAAACGATTCACATAATTTAGGTTTGGAGAATACATTGTTGAAAAGTACATGGAAAACTAAGACCAAAGGAAGAAAAAAAAAACAATTACTAATTCTGGTGAAAAGAGAGTTAAATAAATAAGGCATACTAATCACTCACTGTCCACTAGAACACTCAGCAAGAACAGTTCTTACATACTAATACAAAAACTAATATTAACACATCCAACTAACTCATGGTCAAAATTTACTGGTATTTTGGAAGAATGGGGGATGAGAATGCTGCAAGCATTTAGGAAGAGTGCTATGCAGGGGATCAAAGAGAGCTAGAACTCTGCCTCCTGCAGCAGCTAATGCCTAAAATGGAGGAAAATTTAAGAACTAGCAATATTAGCATGTTATTCAGAGATATATCAAAGAATCAACTAAGTGGTTGCCTCTGAAACCCTGAAATGGCATAAGAGGGTTCCCTTGGGGTTGCTTGTCCATTTTTAACAAGCTCACTTCAACTGCTTGATTATATAAGCCCTAAAAAAACATAAACTAAATTAAAACAAAATAAAACTATCACAGCTATTACGTGACTGGGTCAGAACTTGAGCCCATGTAACTTAACTCCTATTCGGGTCCATTAATTTGTGTTTCTATGAACCTGTGCTTCTTTAGTACTACAGTAACTGCCTAGTATAAAGTAAGTACTCCAGCTGTTTCTAAGTGAATGGAAGACAGTGAAAAACTGGAATTCCATTTCTAATACAAGCTAAAGAATGAGGGAATTCCAGCCAGAAGAAATTGCAGAAGCAAAGTGTGTGCGTGCTGAGTAAGAAGAGAACAAGGAAAAGGAAGGAGGAAGGAGGAAGAGTAATGAGAAATATCCGGAAAACTCACTGGGGGTGTGAAAAGAGGTAGAGCAAGAAGGGAAGCTTGGAGCCACGTGTCAGGGGAGTGCGAAGGCTACCTGCTCTTGAGCCTCGGGAGTTGGTAGACTGGTTTTGCAGTGGTAACAGTTCTTTCCCAGATAGTGTCAGCTTTCTAGAATTCACAGTACACCAGGTTCTCTATTATCTTGAGTTTTTCTTTCAGTGGCCCAAGGGCAGTATTAGTTACTCTCCAAGTCTCTGTCAGGATGACCCCACAAGGGAAGGAGGGGCAAAGTCTGGTGAAATCCCACAAGGATATCACCACCTACCTTTTGGATCTCTTTTTGCTTTTGACAAAAGCATTAAAATAAAGGGCACAAAGAAATCATCATCTAAAAGTTAGGTAAACATATGTATCCACCATTGCCACTGTTCATGCATTCATTTCATCCAAAGTTTATTGAGCCATTTGCTAAATGTCAAGCACTGAGAGCATAAAGTTTCTGATTATAAATAATTTATTTTCCAATGGCAGAATTACTTAAAACAACAGGTTAAACAATATAATTGGTATAAACAAAAGTACTACAGAAATACAAAGGAATGAAAGACTACTTATTTAATGGTTTTATTATGTATAATATCACGGCCAGAAAACTCCCATAGTCACCACTGCACTTTGATCATCAACTCAAGGTCAGTCTTGTTTCTCTTCTACATCCACTTACAGTCAAGACATCACACTGTTTCCCCTAGAAATATTTCAGTATGTACCTCTAATGCATAGGGATTCTTTTTCTAAACATAACAAAAATATGAATCTTGAAAATAAGTTTTGAAAAACTAATGTTTAATCATATGTATATAATTAACATATAAAATATGTATATGTATGCATGTGTAATTAATATATACAATGTATATATAACCAACATATTTAATAACACACAGATCTTAATGTGTTCAATTGAGTTCTGGTGACTGTTACCTAAAACGACACTTTTCCATGGCCCAGAAAGATCTCATATTCCCCCTTTCAGGCCAGTTTTCTAACCCAGAAAACCACATTCTGATTTATTGCCAATGATCAATTTTAACTGTTCTTTAGACTTTTACAAATGGAATTGTTAGAGTTCGTACAAGGTTTTTTTAGGTTTTGGCCTAAATAGGTGGAAAACGTTCCAAGTAGAAATTACATGCACAAAATATAAACTTGTATAGGAATATGGTCATGAAATGCTGATGAGCTCAGGAGGGTTGAAGGCTTGGAGAGGAGACTGGTAACTGAGACAAGACAAAGCTACAAAAGAAGGCTCTTTGGAAAGTTAGGGTTTCCAGTTTAAATACTACAATTAATTTCTGCAAACCAAGTTGTTAAATAAGCTCTTCCCAACGTCTCAAATTATTTCTCTAACATAAACCTTGGTCCATTGTCTCGAAGTGCTTGTTTTTGCTTAACCTCCAGCTGAGGGTTGACCAATGCAAGACTATCCCCTTGTTGTTCACTCCCATCTGGCCACAGGCTCACTGCCATGTCAGGGAAGGGCACCCCGCACCTCCTTCTGTGGCATTCTTCTGCCAGGGCAGTCTCTACCTCCATTTCCAATACAGAGTTGAGGTTCAAGGGGAAGCCTTACCATGATCTGGATTTCCCTCTTGCACACCTGGAGATCATGCTCATTGTTGACAAACATGCGTTTCAAGGCACATTTCATTCCATTGCTTGTCCTCACCAGAAACACGATAGCAAATCCACCTGTGAGAGAAGCATATACATAGCTCTTTTCAGTCAGATTCAAAAAATCATGGTGGCTGCAGATTGCTGCTGTCATTGTTAATGGTACTGATGGGAGCCCTTAAGATGGCTTGGCCCAGAAGGCATTCTTAGGTTTCTGGGACTGAGAGATATAACTTGTGGAACTGAGTGCAAGAGTTAGAGAAACATTCCTAAGCTGTTATCCCAGAATCAAGGAAGAAGAGTGATTATCTTCCAAAGAACCTACAAATAAACAGATGAATGAACGGAAGAAGCAAAAGGATCCAGCTACATTTCAACTACTATTTTAGGTGCTCTGATGCTCTTGATAAATTCGTAGCACAATCCTGTGAGGTTGGGGTTTTCATCTCTAGTAAAACAGTACCTAGCCAAAGAAAAGAAAGGCTCAAAAGAGATTTGATTCAAACCAAGGTTTTGTTTCCATTGTTTTTTTTTTTTTTTTTTTTTTTTTTTTTTTTTTTTTTTTTTGGTACCGGGGATGGAACTCAGGACCTTGTACCTACAAGACAGGCGTGGTGCCACTGAGCTAAATCTCCAGCACTGTTTTGTTTTGCTTTTAACTAAGTCTAGAACTCTTTCTCTCACATCAGAGAGTCTAGAAAATTATTTTAATAACTGCTATTAAAAACAGTCATCAATTTATTTCAACAATCTCCTTTTCTTCTCACTCTTCCTCACTTTACCTCTCAATTCAAATCAATAGACCTTGAAGATTCTTCCTGCTCTCCCTGTTCTGTGGGCTGTTAAGAAGACACAGGACAAGATACAGTATGAGAGTACTCTTCTATCTAGCAGACTTTAGGACTCAGTCATTGGGTATACATTTTAATATCTGCAGTAATGTTTCTTTAAAAAACACTTTATATTTCATAAACAGAAATTTATACAACTCTAACAGGAATTTACAAATGCCTTATTATTTGTTAACTTCTAGAGTTCCACAAATTCTTAGAACTCCTAGCCTCAATCTCACTTCCAAAGCATTGTATGAGATAGAGGTTCAATGACCCTGCTAAGAGGATTAGATAGACAAGGTGTAGAAAAGCTGTTAAAGTCGAAGGCTTTGGAACAAGCAGCAGTTACACCAGTCAGTCCATCTGCCTGCCTTATCCACAGCATCATTTAACTTGCATGTATTGTTCACTGACCCTGTGCAGCAAAAAAACAAAAAAACAAAAAAAAAAAAACCTCACTAGGACATTCTATGCACAAAGATGGTCATGAGTCAGAAATGAACACAGAAGAAAGTCATTAGGATATGAACTTGAATTGGGGTTATAATTTAGTATTGGGGCTTGCAGCCACCTGCAAAACTGGTACAGATCAATACGCAGCCATCACAGAAATCTCCAGCCCCTAGGAAATAACACTTGAGAACTGATGCTGCTATTCTAATTCCCCTGACCCTCAAGGCACTTCAGTAGCTGTCTATGGCATTTCCTAGTAACATTACATTAATTAACATTAATAAATTTTGCAAGTTAACCCAAGTAAGATTCTTTTCCTTACAACCAAAATGAGCCTGTTCATAAGCCTACGTCATAAGCACTGTTCTATGATTTCATAAAATACATACACGGGTCTGAAAAAAATTGATAAATTCAAATGTCATAAATGTACATTGTGATAATTTATACTTGATCTTAGCCAAAAGGCCGAGAGCGACACACTGTGATAATTTAGCAGAGAATGCATTTTTGCATATTTTCTGTCACTGTGTTCTGCAGTACTCAGATAAATATTTAGCATCCAACCTTTAATTTTAACTATGTTTCTAATCCTCTAATCTCATAATCTAATCAAGAATATCTTCCACTTTATTGTAATACATTAAACCGTTCCATTATCAATTTTAATTCCAGAATTTCAAGTTTTTAAAAACCACCTAGCATAGGACCAGAGATTTAGCTCAGTGGTTCCACTGCCTGATTCGCAAGTATAAGGACCCGTGTTCAATCCCCGGTAAAAAAAAACAAAACAAAACAAAAAAAACCACAGAACACCCAGCATTGAAGTTAAGGTGTTTCTCTCACCCTCTCCTTCTTTATACACACACACATACTATCTACATTCTAAGATGTTTATCTTTTATATTTAATTTTTAGGATATCAGAATTTATCTCATAATAAAAATGTAGATTTAATGCAATGATATTTATCTCTTCTTTTTTTCTTTTTCTAAACTCATTAAAATCATGAGTGCATTCTGCAATTACTTAGCATCGGGAAAAGTGGTAGCACAGCATATAAAATTTCTATTTATATTCATAATTGTTTCATAGTCCAAGTGTATCTCATTTTATGGATATTTTGAATGTTTAAAAAAATCATAGAATTGCAGACTTTGCACCAGTAATATTAAGTCCTACAGAGCATTAAGTCCAAGATTTTGCTTTTTTGGAAGAAAAACCAAATGAGGCTCAGGAGTCCCATGACTAGTTAGAGGCAGAGCCTGGAGCCATGCCATTCTCCTGACTATCCAAAAAATGTTTCTTCCACTTCATCTATTGTAGAAAAAACTCATGTAATACCCCTTTAGATAATAAGATATCTGACAATGCTGCAGAACAAAAATTGGGGCTGGGTATTTCCTTTATTGGAAATAACTAACCCTTTCATTTTACCAAAGTGACACAGCACATGTTCCACAAAGTTAAAAGATGACTTGAATATAAACTCCAAAATATTAGCTCATATTAGCTCCAAGTATTAGCTCATACATTTCTAAATGTGCATATATGTGTGTGTGTGTGTGTTAGTCTGTGGGGATGTGTGCATGTTTGTGCTCAGTGTGGATAAACCCAGCAATGCTCTGCCTCTGAGCTTCATCCCTGGGTTTAGTTACTTTCTGTTTGGGGAAGGGGCTCTCAGGGTTGCCCAGATGGACCTAGAACTCTACCCTGGGCTCTGACAGCTGGCTCCTCAGGACTGCACCAATGTGCTTCACATGGTACTTTTCTTCTCTCTCTCTCTCTCTCTCTCTCTCTCTCTCTCTCTCTCTCTCTCTCTCTTTCAGGGATCAAACTTGGGTCCTTGCACTTGTGAGGCAGGCTCTGGAACCACTGAGCTAAATCCCTGGCCTGCCTTTCTTGCTTAAAGAGGGTTTGATGGAAGACTTCCCCTACTCAGCATTTGTATACGACATGTTTTAAAGCCATTTCGATGTGTGGTCCTGGTACCACAAAAACAATTAGTCCTTTTAGAAGAAGGTTGATGGTGCTGCAATTTGAGATAACTGCCACCAGGCGGGGGCAGAGCCAGGGTGGATGAAACAAGTCACTTCACCATCCTGCAAGCACAATCGGTTGAGAAAAGCCAGACTAGATCTCAAAGCCTATGACCACGATAAATCTAAAAGAAAGCAATGAATTACTGTGTCTAACACAGAAGCACATTATTAAAAGCATCTATGTCTATAAAAGGGTTTAACTATAGGTGAAAAGGATTTAAATCATGAATTCAAAATTGAAGCTTAGTAGTATCTGTCATTCCAAAAATGTTAGTCACTGTCACTGTGTCATTCTCTAGAGTTGTAAATTATCAGGTCAGGAGATGGAGGGGATACACCACTCATGCTATTTCTCCTCACATGTTTACCACATAGATCAGGGTAATAACTCTCAGCCAGAGCAAAGCAGGGTCCAGGCCATTACAGAAGGAGCTGTCAACAGAAAAGACTGTGGATAGAGATGCTTATTTCAGACCACATTGCATCCCAAAATCTTGATTAAATGGAAAAACCCAGAACTAAGGTAAGGATGGTTCACAGAGGTTAAGAAAATCTAACTGGTCTGTGCTAGTCTCCCTTCCTATTGGTATTTGGTGAAACATTAAGATAATCTCATCCATGAATTTACTGAATCAAAAAGAAGAAAGGATCTAATCTGTTAGTTGAAGAAAGCAAGTGAAGCAGGCATGATAATTATGACAGTCATATTTCATCCATTACATATGTCAGGATGTTTTTTAGATATTCTAAGAAACAGTGTTAGGGTTGGGGTCTGCATGTCACCTCAAATCCTCATTTGGTCAGAGGTGCCTGAATCTGGAATGTGTGACGTTGGGATTAAGGTCATGTGATCATTAAACCACCCCAGTAAGTGAGCGGCTTAGCGCCACCCTAATCCTGGTAGTCTGGATGGGGTAAAAAAGGCAGAAAGACATGGTGAAACTCTCTTGTTGCCTTTGCTACCTTGTGTGTGCCATGTTGTTTCTTCTCTCTGCAATCTCTGCCTTGGAGCCAGCCGATTATAGACTGAGATGAAACCTCTACAAACTGTAGGCCAAATAAATCCCTTCCTCTCTAACTTTGGATGTTTTTGTCTCAGTAACAAGGTTAAAGATCTTTGTCTGTTTAGTTCCCCTCTGGATCACCATGCCCTGGGGCAGAGCTGACCACATAGTATGCATTCAAAAAATAAAAAAAATAATAATAAATAACTCAATTAAAAATTAAATTTCCTCTGTCACTGAAGAGAACAGAAAAGGCAACAGGGTATGGTGGTGCTTTGGGACACTAATTTGTCTGACCTATGCAAAGGAAGGGAAGCTGTGCCACACTGCATAGTTGTTGCCATGTAGGAATGTGGACTTGGTTTTGTCAGCAATATTAACACACACATCCCCAACCCCCATACTGGGAATCGAATTAATGAACTTGTGCTTGCCAGGCAGGCACAATGCCACTGAACTATACATCCCTGGCCCTAGCAATGTTAATTTCTAAACATACAGAACCAGTTAGTAGAATTTAAATTATATCCCTTATATTTTTACACTTTTCTTTTAAGCCAACTTTATATATAAAACATACCACACTTTACATGTATAGCTTGATGAGTTTCCACTTCTTATACTCTTGTAACCATCACCACAATGAATCACTGCAAACAGTTCTTCATGCCTCTTTGTTAGATCAGCTCCTCTCCTGTTGTGTAACAGTTTACAGAACTTCAGATCTACGTACCACCCCTGTCAAT